TCTGCCTTCCATTGATGTATACCAATTATTTTGGTCACTCCCAGGAGAAGGAACATCAGTTTAGACTGGGTCTTGAGTCTAACTTGTAACAGTTGCTGATATGCAGGTTCTAAACATGGCTTGTGGCCATCTACCACAAGGCAATATTTGTAGCCACTGCAGCGAGCCATGTATTTCCAGCACCCAGGGCTGGTGTGCACACTTTCCTTTTTTTTAAATCCAGGCCATAACACTTGCTGTAGGGACTCAGTTCCCCCCTCTATGTGCATATAACCCAGCTCGCTGGCCCTTCTTCCCAGATCTGTGCAGAATGAATTGCCTTGTATGCTTCTGATACTGTTCTGTACGTGTTCCCTAGGCGCTATCTCAGCTACCTTGATTTTTCCCAGAATGCACTAATAGCAACAGTGAGGCAGGCAGCATAATGTGAATACACACGGTTGACTGGTTGACACGTGGTGATGTTGCGGAGCTATTTACATTTTAGCCATGTTTATACCCAGGCCAGACTAATGTCAGACTGGCTAAACAGTATTTGGAATACTCTTGTCTTTTTGTCCCCACTTCGATATCAACTTGGCTTTAATGGTCCCTATTTGGAAGTACTGGGGCTACATCAAACCCTGAATGCCTTCTGAAGGGTGGAGGCATTAATCTCTGTCCAGGAGCACATGGGAATACTAACTGCTAACTTCATGAGGGACTTGAAGTGAAATGTTTGGGGAGCAAGGTGGTTTCTGTACACAAATATCCTCGCCTCAGTCTGCAGCCCTGTGATGTATGGCAGGATCCTGGGAGTCCGCAAGTGGAGCTGATGATTTGGAAGAGGATAAGAACTGCCCCTAGTCTAGCCTCCTCCAGTCCCTGGAGAGGCCGGAGAGGCATGGCATTCTGGGGGCTGCTTTGTGTGGCACAGGTAGAGGAAGTAATGTCGATTACAGCTGGGAGATGAAGCTGCTGATGGGGGAACAGGAGCAGAGGGAAGGAGCCTCTCGGGCCAGGCAGAGAGCCAGATCAGGAGCTGAGGGAGTATGACATTTCATGGTGCAACCCAGAGCAGTGAGGGGCTGTCACCACTTGCCCTGCAACTTGGAGTGCCTTGGTGCTGCAGCTCCCACCTAGGCTTCTGCAGCTCACAGCCTGAGTGTCTGTAAAGCCACAGCCCTGAACCAGCAGCCTGTCAGCAAACACCAGCCACACTCCGGCTTCCACCAGCCTTGGAGGGTGACCCAACATGCTCCTAGTCCCAGATTTCCCCCCAGAAATGTCTTGCACAGTACAGATATATTAGGTCCATTGCCCTCTATGGGGATCAATACATAACAGCTTGCCACCTTAAATGGAGTTACCTAAATGAGTCACTACACTAGATAAACTTGTTTGGTTCTTTAATCAAAATTAAACTACAAAAAGACCAAGTACAAGTAATGAGGCATAAAAGTTAGAAATGGTAACCAGAAAAATAAACAGAACACTTTCTAAACTTGGTTCAAGGTGAAGTTCTTACTATGTTGTCAGTACATTGCTGACCAAACTCTCAGACCAGGGTCTGCTCCTGAAGTCCATAAGAGAGAGAGGCCGGGAGAGATCACTTGGTATTTTTGCCCTTATTTTTATAGTTCAGTCACCCTTTCAACAGCACTTTCCTGAGAGTGACCCCTACTTACATTTCTTGCCAGCTGAGAGCAAGGAGACATGGAGTCTGGTGGAGGACAGAGGCTTCCTGCTTTCTTTTCCCCTGTGTATGTTGAAATGCAGATTTTCTTTATCCTCTTTCTTCTCTTGTTGTCTGAGGACTCTGTTTATCTCAGTTTGCATATAAGCTATAAACATGCACCCCTTTGTTTGACAGGCCTGTTAGGCCCAATTAGGTAGAACTGGTCAATGTGGGTTTGAACATGTGCCTGTAACATTACACATAATGTTGCTATGTACATTTCACCATGATATCATTGACCAGTGAGAAGGAGTTGTTCAAACAATACCTCACAAGGCATATTTTGTACAAAGAGGATCACAATAGTGTGTGTGGGGGGGGTGAATACCGGGGTGCATTTCCTTGCAGGCGGGTAGGGATAGGAGTCAGGGACTCAAGGTTCTCACCAACCACCCAAGTTCCTGCTGTATTCTTACTTCCCCACCTCCTCCCTGCTCAGCTCCTAGCTCTTCCTGTCCCCTTCAACCGCACAAAACCCAGATTCCAGTCTCTGGGCCCGGAACAAAGGTGAAATTGAAACTGTCTCAACCGCTGAAGTCAACGTGTGTCCAAGTCAATCTGCCCCTAACTCCAAACTTCATTGCAGATGTCGTGGAGTCCCTGGCGCTTGCCCTGCAGCTGGAGGAGCAGGCCAGCAAGCAGATGAGTAAGAGGCGGCCTCAGTAAATGTACCAAACCCCGATTCATAACCACCGTTTTTCTCTTCTCTGTATGTGTCTGTTAACTCTGCCTATTTTAAATGTGATACAATAAAGTCTACTTCAGTCAGGTCTACCTGAAGACAAGAGGTCAGAATAGCAGCTTTTGACCATGCAGTAATTGTTCTAGAAATGCCCCCTTGACAGTGGGGGAGGGGAAACTTGTAGTTCTTCCTGTCATTAGATGCCTCTTCCCCTCATTTAGTGACAATTATCGGCTCTGATGTAACTAGATAAACTTGTGTATGCTAGTGTACATAAACTTTTTTTGCTTCTAGATATATTGTGAAATGGTTTAAAAACTGCAACTCTAGCTGCTTTACAAAGGAAATGGACTACACTTAATTGTAAAAAGAATAAAATAAAGTCTGTATTTTTTTAAGATGTTTGGCTGGTAGATAAATATTCCTGGATTTATTAACTGACTTGTGGAAAATTCTCTGAAGAACTTCCCTCCAGAACAGACTGGCCTTTATGGCAGAGACTGGCTTTTGGGACTGGTTGGTCATTAAAACCTTTTGACGTTTGTAATGTTTGTATTTAAGTAAAAAAAATCAATTAAAGTATCTTGTCTCTTGGTTTTTGGAAGGGGAACAGGGGATAAGTCTTTGGACTAGTGAATCTCAGCTACAGCCCAGAGTGCCTCAAATCCACTTTATAGCACTTAGCAAAAAATTACTTTTTGAAGTACATCAGAAGCAGGAAGCCTGCTAAACAACCAGTGGGGCCACTGGACAATCAAGATGCTAAAGGAGCACTCAAAGACGGTAAGGCCATTGCAGAGAAACTAAATGAATTATTTGCATTGGTCTTCACATCTGAGGATGTGAGGGAAATTCCCAAACCCGAGCCATTCTTTTTAGATGACAAATCTGAGGAACTGTCGGAGATTGAGGTGTCATTAGAGGAGGTTTTGGAACAATTGATAAACTAAACAGTAGTAAGTCACCATGACCAGATGGTATTCACCCAAGAGTATTGAAGGAACTCAAATGTGAAATTACAGAACTAACTGTAGTCTATAACCTATCCTTTTTAAATCAGCTTCAGTACCAAATGACGGGAGGATAGCTAATGTGACGCCAATTTTTAAAAAGGGCTCCAGAGGTGATCCTGGCAATTACAGGCTGGTAAGCCTGACTTCAGTAGCGGGTAAACTGGTTGAAACTATAGTAAAGAACAGAATTGTCATTCATGTGGATGAACATAATTTGTTGGGGAAGAGTCAATATGGTTTTTCTAAAGGGGAAATCATGCCTCACCAATCTACTAGAATTCTTTGAGGGGGTCACAAGCATGTGGACAAAGGGGATTCACTGGCTATAGTGTACTTAAATTTTCAGAAAGCCTTTGACAAAGGTCCCTGACCAAAGGCTCTTAAGCAAAGTAAACTGTCATGGGATAAGAGGGAAGATCCTCTCATGGGTTAGTAACTGGTTAAAAGATAGGAAAAAAATGGTCAGTCTTCAGCATGAAGAGAGAGAGAGAGTGGTGTCCCCCAGGGGTCTGTACTGGGACCAGTGCTATTTAACATATTCATAAATGGTCTGGAAAAAGGGGTAAACAATGCAGTGGCAAAATTTGCAGATGATACAAAACAATTTAAGATAGTTAAGTCCCAGGCAGACTGCAAAGAGCTACAAAAGGATCTCTCAAAACTGGGTGACTGGGCAACAAAATGGCAGATGAAATTCAATGTTGATTAAATGCAAAAAAATGCACATTGTATAGTTGATTATGTTTTCCATATAAAATGATGGGGTCTAAATTAGCTGTTACCACTCAAGAAAGAGCTCTTGGAGTCATTGTGAATAGTTCTCTGAAAATATCCACTCAATGTGCAGCAGCAGTCATAAAAGTGAACAATGTTGGGAATCATTAAGAAAGGGATAGATAATAAGACTGACAATATCATGTTGCTTAAGTATAAATTCATCATACACCCACATCTTGAATACTGCATGCAGATGTGGTTGCCCTATCTCAAAAAAATATATTGGGATTCAAAAAGGTTCAGAAAAGGGCAACAAAAATGATTAGGGGTATGAAATGGCTTCTGTATGAGGAGAGATTAATAAGATGGGGACTTTTCAGCTTGGAAAAGAAACAACTAAGTGGGGGATATGATAGAGGTCTGTAAAATCATGACTGGTGTGGAGAAAGTAAATAAGGAAGTGTCATTTACTCAAACACAAGAACTAGGGGTCACCAAATGAAATTAACAGGCAGCAGGTTTAAAACAAGTATTTCTTCATAGTCAACCTGTGGAACTCCTTGCCAGAGGATGTTGTGAAGGCCAAGACTACAACAGGGTTCAAAAAAGAACTAAAGTTCATGGAGGGTCAGTCCATTGATGGCTATTAGCCAAGAGGAGCAGGGATGGTGTCCCTAGCCTCTGTTTGCCAGAAGCTGGGAATGGCAGTGGGATGGATCACTTGATTACCTACAGGCCACAGGTAGTACCCTCTGTTTGTAGCATTACATTTCAACATAGAAAACATGTGGATTACACTAAATTAAGTGCATAGAAATTACTAGCTGGAAACAAAACAATTAAAGAAAATTACATTTGAAAATGTCTCTGAAAGTTATTTTCAACAAGCCTTTATTATATAAACATTGAATTGGCAAGTAACTCGTGCTAAATAAACATGTTGAACCAACGAGCAGGATTAATATCTGTGACAATGTACCCACTGGAAAATATTCTCACCAACATAATGGGAGCCCAAAGCATTCCTAGGCTTAATTTGATGGTTTCACACAAATAGCAAAAAAAATCCCTCCTTTTACATTTAAAAAAAAAATTAAATCTAAATAATTTAAAAAACTTTCTTAAACTCCGCAAAAAGACTTCCAGTTTCTTTTGAAATGTATTACAATTTGACACTGATCCTGGGCGAGTGGCCGGGACACTGGGCAGGGGGCTGCTTGGCTCCACACCTAGGGCAGGTGGAGGGTCCTCTGTGGCTCTCCACAGCTGCCCACCCAGCTCTTGCTGTGGCTCAGAGCCGCCCCCACCGGCTGGAGCCAGGTCAGGGAGAGCAACGCTGGTAGCTGTGAGGAGCTGCGGCAGGCCCTCCACCTGCCTTGGGTGGAGGGCCCGAGCAGCCTCTGGCCTGTGTCTCCGCCCCACAGCTTCCTTGCCCAGCATCCCTGCCCAGTGTCCCAGCCCCCCACCCAGGGCAGGTGGAGGATCTGTGCTGCAGTTTTTCACAGCTGCCCACCCAGCTCTTAACATCAGAGCCCTGCATGGATACAAAACTTGTATCTGCATCCACGCTGCTATCCACAGAAATGGTCCAAAGATGCGGACATAAAGCAGATTTGCAGGGCTCTAGAGACGGGCATGGCCCAAGAGGGAGGCAGAGGGCATGGAAGAGGGGAAAGAGGCGAGGCAGAGGAGCTGACCTCATTCTGTTGTTTGAAGTTTTCATTCCGTGCTTCCTTCCTCTGGAAGAACAAAGCAGAGCCATGAGTCGCAGAGGGGCAGTGACACCAAGGAGCTCTGGCTGCCCCTGGTGTTAATGCTGGGCAGGGTTGTGTGGGGAACCCTCTGGCATCCAGACTCTTACATGGGACGGCACCTGAGCTCCATGCAGGGACCTGGATTCACCCTCTGCTCTGGCCTCTTGCTCCCTGGGCTGGCCCCACACCCATCTGAGGCTCGATTCTCCTCTCCCTTCCACTGGGGGATCCCCACTGACTTAGAAGGGCTGACTCTTGATTTATGCCTGTCTAAGCGAGAGGAGAATTGGTCTCTGAGTCAGCCTTTTCATGACCCCCTACACACCTTCCATGGGCGGCATCCTTTCTGGGCTTGCTAAACTTCCTGGGATGTTCACTTTATTCGATGCCAGAATATCAACCTGTATTGCATCCATGTTCATGTACAAGGTCTTGGCATCTCTCTAGAACCAGCAAAAAAGGTAAGAGGTTAGCAGCTCGCAGGGACTTGAGCAGGCAGCAAGGACACGAGAAGGGCCACCCAGAGAAGAAGGGAAGTTCCTGACAAGCCCCCTCAGAGGGGCAGTCTTGGCAATAACAAGCCAGTGGAGTCCTGGCAGTTTCCTTTTGCCAGTCTCCACACGTCATTGCACTGAGCATAGCCCTCAGCCCGGGGGCTGGCTGGTGTGACTGACTCCTGAGTAGAGAAACCAGCGAGGGGACTGGGAGCCTGTGTTGGATAGTCTTGGCACTCCCCGGTAAATGACTCCTGCTCTCAATGGTCCCTCTTATTTTTTTACATCCATGTGTGGAATGAATTTTGTTATGTGCACCAATATGGAGGTGATGTGTGGTGGGGCAGGGGGTTGGACTAGATGACCTCTTGAGGTCCCTTCCAACTCTGATATTCTATGATTCTATGGGGGTGGGGCCGAGGTGTTCGGAGTGTGGGAGGGGGCTCAGAGCTGGGGCACAGGCTTGGAGTGCAGGGGGGGTGAGGGCTCTGGCTGGGGGTGTGGGCTCTGAGGTGGGGCTGGGGATGAGGGGTTTGGGAGGGGGTTCAGGGCTGGGGCAGAGGCTTGGGGTGCAGGAGGGTGAGAGCTCTGGCTGGGGGTGTGGGCTCTGGGGTGGGGCCGGGGATGAGAGGTTTGGGGTGTGGGAGGGGGCCCAGAGCTGGGGCACAGGCTTGGGGTGAAGGGGGGGGTGAGGGCTCTGGCTGGGGGTGTAGGTTCTGGAGCGGGGCCAGGGATGAGGGGTTTGGGGTGCCACGGGGCTGCGGTGGGGAAAGAGGACTCCCCCAGCCCTCTCACCGCAGCAGCTTGAGGCTGGGGGAGAGGGGTCTCTCCCCACTGTGCCTCGGTGCGGCCACACGGCTGCACAGCTTAGAGGGAACTTAGCTCTCCGCTGCTGCAAGGTAGAGGCTGTTCACATTAGAACTGTTTAAGTGAGCCGTTGGCTGTCAGGGCAGGCCCACAAATCAGGGTGTAACCTGTGCTGTAGGGGAGATACCATGATCACGAAGGTGGTTTTCCCAGGGTGAGGCTCATCCATTGCACTGCGGGTGTGCTGACCCCTGCGATTTCCCCAAATGCAGGAAACTCGACTGCGTAATTTGTGGTAGTGGGGGACTGCGTTCACGCTCTCCCCTGGCGCTTGGTTAAGCAAAGGAAGACGAAGTTCAACAGCCATGCACGAGAGGTACATAACAGTCCCAGACTCTCTTCCCTCCATCCCCTCCTGAGGATGGGCCTGCGCTATGAGCACCGTGCAATCAAACTTACAGAGCCAGACACCCACAGGGGGTAAATTGGCACGGCCCTTCTGAAGTTAACGGACCCAGCTGTGTCTCTTCACCAGCTGAGTTTGCCATCTACCACTTCCCCCAAAAGGAAATAAAAGGGAACTGGGAAAGTCTTATTAGGCCCCATTGAGTCGAGCTCGGCCCTGGATTGTTGCCTGCAGGACATTTCCTATGGCTTTGTCCGGCTCAGCTTTAAAGGGCCCATGTGACAGGGCTTCCGCTGATTTACATGGTGTTCAGTCCTGAGCTACCTCAAGGCAGGAGAGCTCAGATGCAGACGGAGGCTCAAGCCTATCTCCTCGTTCTGGGACACTGCTAGCCCTGCATGTCTCACCACTTTTCCAACATCCCCACGCAAATGTGAGTCCAGACACGACCTCAGTGTTACTCCATTTACACGAAAGACGGGCCCTAAGTCAGAAAAGAACCATCCCCTCTCCCCAGACTTCAGAACTCAGGTCCCGCTGTGATTTGCACCATTGTCCCACCTCATTAGTGCAGATGGATAGTGCACGTGCACATTGATATCCACTGCATGGAGTGAAGTCTTTGGGGGTGTTGGGCCAAAACCAAAGCAATTCATTTAACTGAGGACATTGTGATTGGACCCCAGTGGTCTCTGGAGTCTGATCAGGAACCGGAGCTCCACTGCGGCTTTAGAGGAATGAAACCCAGTCCCCATTATCCCTGCAAAATGGACCCATGTTCCAGACCAGAAACAAGCCCTGGCAGTTAGAGAAGCCCATTTACCATAAAAAGCTGGAACAGAGTCTCTCCTGTTGCCTTCCTCACGTGCTGCTCCACAATGGGAAATGTCCGGACAAAATACTGCAACAAAACACTCCCAATAAGTGCAAAAGGAGGGAGGGGGTGTCTGGCTCCACTGAAAAGCAGCACCCTCACAGGATGGTAAAGTGCTCCAGTTCAGTGCTCCTTCCCACCTGGGATTTATCTGTCCATTGCCCCCATTCTGCTGTTCACCTCTCTGAGCGCCAACACGGCTGGAGGCCGGGGTTAACTAGCTGGGGAAAGGGTTGGTACAACACCCAAGCCCCACCCCAACTGCCAAGCCCCACCCATACTGCTAGAGCAGCTGGATATTTCAGTCTGTGATCGGCAGGGGTATGGTTAACCATCACACCACTGGGCTTTAGAGCCGACGTCCCCTGTGGCGGAATGGAGGACCTTCACTCTGGATTTCTCTAGGTTGCAGGCTTTGGGTTGGGTTTGAAGTATGGTCTTTATGTTGAATTTCCTGCTTTTGTATTATTCAAAACTGCAACCCATTCCATGAAGGTTTCTTCTCATTTATTTACTGCCCTTAACTCCACCTCACTGAAGGATTTTTGTCGGGGAATCATGACTGTTAAGCAGAAGGAGAACTGGAGTTGGATAAGCTCGTCCTCAAGCACTAACAGCAGAGGGGACGCAGAACCCGTAGGGACGTTGCTGTATCATCAGTGCCCTTTTTTCCAGCCTTGCCCCAGTGTGCCTGATCCCCTTTATCTGAATAACACCCACTGCTCAGGAGCTTAGGGGGGGGAATCCACATTAAAATACACATTGCCCCCCACAGAGATACTCACCTCTAGAGTGATGCTGGCCTGTCTCTGGCAGGTGGTGTGATCCTGGTTCCCCATAGCACACATAAGGCCGTGCACCACTCTCAGCTGGATCATCTCTTCGGCCAGTTTGGTGGAGTCCTTGGCTAGAACGCTGCAAGGAAATCAACGCAGTCAGGCTCCAAGGCTCTTCTGCATGGGAGAATGAAATGGAAGAGCCACGTCTAGCCATTTGGAGGGACAGATTCTAGTCCTGTTGCCTTAGGTGTGGTGCTGATCCAAGTGCAACGTGATGCCTCCATCTTTCCATGTCACTAGCGAATGACTAACACCAATGAACAAGGACGGATGCTATTCTCAAACTGAACAGGAAGCCCATGGCTGCATGTGAACTTTTTAACATGTATGTTTGGGGCTCTACAATTCTTTTAACGATTGACAATAAAAAACATCTGATTTACATATTAAATCTCAGCAAATCCACTATGTTACCTCATAGAATGCAGCATCCAGGGTGGAACAGTAAATTACATTATTTTATTATTGAGCACATCACTGGAGAAAGCAACATGGCCGGTGTTTTGTGTCGTCTTCTGCTTTTAAAGGGAGCAATTTGGCATCGGCCCATCTTGTGGACTCTGCAGATCTCTAACAGGAAGTGAGCTACAGAAAAGCATGGAGACAGAGTTTCGGGATTCACTGGATCAGACACTGACTTTGGTTCCATGCACTACGCTGTCGATGTCAAATTGTTAAGTCGAGGCATTTCACTACAAGAGACTCTCTGCTCCCCTGAGAATACGACAGGGTCTGTACTGCTATATAGCATGGTTTGGTCCAGGTAGGTGGCAAGGTGCTAACACTGTCCCTCTCTATGCTGGCCTGGAAACAGGGAACATTCTGACTCTGTATTAATGGCCGGAGTAGAGGTTGATATTCTATTTCACCTATAATAAAAGCTCTGAATAATTTCAGGGGAGGATCTGGATTTTGCTACCCAAGCGGAAGTGCTTCTCTCTAAGTTCCTGAGGACTGTTGTGGATGGATGAAAGCCCCCGAAGTCTATATGGAGGAGTTGCAGAGCCACAGGGAAATACTCAGACAGCAATGGCAGAGGGCTAAAGATTCCCTCGGAAGGATAACGACTGACCTTTTCTCCATAAAGGAAGCAGCTTCTGTATAAATCTCTGTAGCGAGGCAGCCTGGTTCCCCGCCACCCCGGAGGGGGACAAGCCCCTTTGGACGCTAAAGTGGGCGGAGCCAGTGGAGCTTGCGCCCGCCCCCCAGAGCTCACTAGAGGCCTGGCCGCTGGAGAAGCCAGACGCCTGTGGCCTAGCTCCCGGTTGGGAGACTCTTGCAGTTTGCGACCGACCCGAGGACTGGCCAGACGCCGACCAGACCCCGGGGAAGCTGGCAAACCCGCCTGTGGCAAGTTACCCAGAGGAGCTGCCAAGCCTCCCGCTCGCCGGGTACCCAGAGGAGCCCATGGTGCTTGATTCCTTGGAAGACTCCGTCCAGACGCAGGTACCTCTAGAGGGGGAGGTAGGAAATAGCCCAGGGGCAGCCGACCCTCGTCTGGCTGCAGCACATCCAGAGCCCATGTCAGTGTGTTGTGGCCAGGATCCCCACTGACGCAGCAGCGGGTCTTCTGCCGCTGCTAGGGCCCCGGGCCGGGACGCAGTGGGGTGGGTGGGCCTGCGTCCCCCCTGCCACCCAACGTGTGGGTGGCCGTCTCCCCCTCTCCCAGCTCCTTCGGAGCCAGGACCTGGGCCTCCTAAACTTGTCTGCTCAGCCCCTGCCTGAGGGCCTGGGCCACTGACTCTCTACTGCCCGGCCCTGACCCAGGGCCTGGGCCTGTTATTAAACCGTTTGCTCCATAAAGGAAGCAGCTTCTCTAAATCCTGTATAAATCTCCCTTTGTATTTTGCGCTGAATTTTCTTACCCGATGGTTTTTGCTGCAGCGGCTTGCTGTATATACACCGACAAGGGCTCCGGAAGCTGGAGTGTGGCTGGGTCTGAATGGGGGAACATTAGACAGGATGAAAACTACGGCTAGAGCCATACTTCTGCCAGAAAGCTTGAGTTATAACCTGGGGAATCAGAGCAGTAGCACCTGAAGAAAAGAGGATTTGTGAGATTAGAGCAATATCCCTAAGGGAATCTACACACAAATGTACTGTAGCCCAGTGCGTCACAAGGAGCTCTCGCTGCTCAGCGACTGTGTCAGGCTAATGCAGCAACTCAAACAGCCTGGGACGTTGCAGTCTGTTTTACTGAGACAGGATGTGGGTTTCCCTGACTCTTGAAAAGGTGTCCTGGGATCTTTAATTTCCTCTGGCCACATGCAGAAGGGAACTGAGTTTAAGATCTCCTCTGAGAGAAGGCGCCGCATCCCCTGCTCTCCATTCACTTTGCTGCATTCATTGAAGAAATCCACACAATTCACAAATAGCATCAAAATTTCCATTCCTGCTCCGAGGGCTCCAACAAGCTGCCTGGCCGTTCCCATTACCCAAAACAGACAAAGCTGATCTCTGCAACTCGCCAGACGGTCACTGGAGAACAGCACTCAGGAGCTGCATCAGAGGAAGCTCTGACACCCATATGTGGAGGTACGTCTGTACACTGCAGTGGGGACAGGGGCGCGGGATATGGAGGCCTGGAGAGTGCAGTGCCGGCCTCCAGCTGCCAGGGGGCCCTGCTTGCCATCTCCTCTCACCCTGTCGCGGGAAAGGGGAAGGGAAAAGAGGGCGATCGCAATCCCAGGACGGACACCCCACGTGCTGGGACTGCACCAACCTACCCATGGAGCTCAGCTGCCCTGATGAAGTGGGGAGGAGAAAAGATGGAGATTCCCTTCTACCTTGGCCTCTTGCAAGGCAGAGCTTAAGGGACACATGGTTTCTAGGTCCTCCTGGGAAGGGGATGGGGGCGCCTCGCCCCTTGCTATGTTTCCTATGGTGGTGGGCATCAGCCTCCCAGCCGGACCCAGCTCCAGCCAGTTGTTCCCCTCCCCCCCCCTGCCTCCCATAGCCAACTGCTGCAGGTGACCTCACTGCTCCCTGGAGAAGGGGTCCAGGCTGCAAGAGGAGCACACAGGGCCCACTGCAATGGGTACCATGCCCACTAGGAAGAGATTTCTGCATCTCCTCTTCTGAATCGCCGACACCATCTCAAATCAGCCAAGAGGTTGGCTGCAGCATCTGACCTCTGCCAAGGTAGCGCAGGGATGGATTAGCGAGGGCCGGTTCCACCCAAGGAGACTAAGGTGCCAAAGTCGCCCACCAGTGGCCGAGCAAGCAGAGAGAGCAATCCACTTCGCAGCACTCTGCAGCCTCCAAGGGAAACTGTGGTGACCTCTTACCTTCCGGGGCTTTGCCTTTCACTTTAGCAGTCTCTTTCCCTAGTGGTTTAAGTAATTCAACCAGACCCTTCAGCAGCACTGGCCGGACTTCATAGGCCGTGAGATCCTTTATCAGCTGAATGGCTAGAGACAAGGAAAGAGGCCAAAGTGCCACCTTGGTGCTCTAACAAGGCTGCACAGCAATCCCAGCAGCAGGTGAAACATCAGAGACAATGGTTTGAACGCTGGCTTCTGAAAGTGCTGTATTTTCCTTCTGCCTTAAAGTAAACCTCCTTGACTAGGGTTGGATTCTGCTCCGTTCCCTTCTGGAAGTTGCTCGGAAACAGAACAGGAGGCCAAGATATGCTCTGTGCATCTGAGAGCAGAAACATGTTCTCCTGGGCTCATAGATCCTAGGTGACATTATTACCCCATGGGCTGGCCAGCAAGAGTATGTGGATGGTAAGGAGCCCAACCAAAACATGGCTGACTTTCTATTACGGCATGAACCTCTGTATTGCATAGAGCTCTCTGGGACACAGTGGGAGGGTGCTGGGGTACTGGACATGTGAGGGTTACATACATTTTACACACGTGCACCATTGAGAGCAGCGCTGGCCCACAGCAGGCTCCAGGTGGAAGGGGCAGGAGCAGCTTCCCCACACACCTTTCAGGAGTTTCACTCTGGGAATGTTGGGAATTTGGAAAGTGCTGGCACACGGAGGCAACAGCTCCTGCTGGGAACTTCCAGGCCCTCCACCTGCAGGGGGCAGGGGCAGGACTCCGGAGCACCTCAGAGTCATCAAGCTCCAGGATTAGTGCAAATATGAAACCTTGACCCCGTCACACTCAATGTCCCCCTCAGCTTGCAGCCACCTGCTCTGATGCCCCCAACAGCCGGGCAGCAGAGCCAACTACCCCCAGGGCAGCCACTGAGAGGCCACAAACAGCTCCGCACCAGCACTTCTCAGCTCCGCTCACAGCAGAAGGGAGACGCTGGGTCTGGTCTGGGAGCACCAGCTCATTTGCATACCCACAATGCATTGCACATTGAAAAGCCTTTCTTTGAGCATTTCAGTGTCCGTGGAAAGATGTGCCAATTTCTGTTCCACCTCTCTTGTGAGGATTGGGCTGCACAGAGCACAGAGCTCTAAAATGAAAAGATTTGTAAGAACCCTCAGTTCCCCTCCAAAAGTCATCCTACTTTGATATTTAGGATCTTTTTTCTCCTCAGAGGGAATAAATCTTTTGCATTTTACTAAAAATTTCTGTGGCAATAAGCTTTTCTGAGTTTACATGCAATTTTTCGAAATGTTCTGTGAATGAGTCTAATTTTTGTGGAAAATAGATAATTTTTTTATTTGAGGTCTATAAAAGCTATGAGTCAAATGCTTTGTTTTCATAAGCCATTGAAAGTTTAAGTTAAATTGTTTTTTCTAGGGGGGGAGAAAAAACTTAATTCTTTAGAAGTTGCATAAATCCCCATTCTGTGTCCTTGCATCCCCAGTCCACATGCGTCCCTCTACCCCCACTCAGACACCCACTCCCCCCATCCCCATGTGGCCCTGCACCCCCTCCCCTGTCCCTTTGTGGCTCTGTACCCCCTCCTCCTATCCCCCTGTGTCTCTGTGCCCCCACCCAACCACTCCCCTGTCCCTATGTGTCCCTGTCTCCCCTCCCTGTTCCCCCCACCCAGCCATTTCCCTGTCCCTATGTGTCCCTGTCCCCCCTCCCCCTGTCCTCATGTGTCTCTGTGCCCCCACCTATCCAGTCCTCTGTTCCTGTGTCCCTGAACCCCCTCCCCCTGCCCCATGTGTCTGTGCCCCCACCTATCCCTATGTAGCTCTGCACCCCCTCCCCCATCACCATGTGGCCCTGCACCTCTCTTCTCTCTGTGGCTCTGTGCCCCTGCCCCAGTCTGTCCTCCCCCACTAGCCCTTATGAGTCCATCTGACTCCCTCAGCACCCCACGCTGTCTGTCTCCTGACCTGGCATGACAGGCGCTGTGAAGAAGTCAGTCTTTCTCTTAGCTGGCCTGGAGCTGCTGCTTTGTTCCATCACCAAGCACCCTCTGGTGGGCAAAAGGTGGAACTACAACAACATTTTGACAAGCTTTTTTCTGAGCAAAAATTTTTAAAATATGTGGGGCTCATTAATTAATGATGCATGCAGTAGCGCAGAATTCCCCCAGGAGTAAAAGAGAAATGGTGTAACTCTGGGCCTTTACAAAGTTGCTACACTAGGCAAATAGATGAGCTGCTGGCTCTGCAATATCAGTGCTTCAGGCGGAATTCACCCGCCGAGATGTTTGCCCAGAACTTCTCAGTCATGAATTCCAGAACTAATGTCACCTATTATCTAGAACGTATAATCGCATTCCAAAATAAATAGTTTTTGAGCAAGGCCTTTCAGCATCATCAGAGTTATGCTAAAAAGATCCACCACAAAACCCAACTGCCACCAAGTGAAACCTTCAAGCACAAACTTTGTTCCTTTCATTTTCTGCACAGACAATAAACCCTGTTAAATTACAATAAAACGCCTCAAATCATTCTATTTTTTACATCAAAAAGCAACCTCAGTAAAATAAGGCTTCCTTTGTGTGTATGTTTACCTGCTTTAACCTGGGAAATAAGTTTCTTATTTCTTTTCCTAGTTAATAAATATTTAGTTAGTTTATTATAGGATTGCCTATGAGCATTGTCTTCGGTTTGAGATCTCAGGTGCAATTGACCCAGGTGAGTGACCAGGAATGACCTGTCACAAAGGCAGGCTCACCTGGGTGGCAAGATAGATTCAGGGTGCCCAAGGGGGCTGTCTGTGACCCCATGTTAAGGCTGTTTTAGTGCCTGAGGAGTTCACACTTGATACTTGGTTGGTGAAATCGAAGTATAGACCATACAACTATGAGGAGCCCCGCTGTCTGCCAGCCCTGGGCACCCGGGGCTCCTACTGTCTGCCACCCCCGGGCACCTGGGTTCCCGCTCTCTGGGGCTCTGCTGTACTAGAAAGAAAGGTACGTTTCTAGCTTGCCCGATGGCAGAGAAAATGTTGAAATTGGGACCTGAGAGCACCTTAAAGGTTCAGAAACCGGAAGGGAAATAAAGAGACCCCATATGACATAAAAAACAAAAATCCTCATGATTTTTAAGCCAATCTCGTGATTTTGGGGGACTTACTCATGATTTTCCAATGGTGAGGGATGGCAACGCTGATAAGGGTTATTATTTTGAATTTACATTACAGTAGGTTTGAAGAAAAAACCCAAACTCATCAGCACTGGGACCCCTGTGTGCTGGGTGCAGCACGACACCTAGTGCCTTCACTTGATTTTACAAACCAAGATACATGGGACATAAGCTGGGTGGGGAGAAGTCTATGTAACTCAGGCAGTTATTTATAGACCTGAGACCTTCAATATTACAAAAGAAAGAAAGAAAGAAAATCTCCCTCACAGACCCTCCAGTCTGGAAAGCATTAATTCCTCGGATTGTCAGAAGGATTCACAGCAGAAAATAAAACCCCAGCTTTTTAAACAATTCTCCAGTAAGACAAAGAAACTGACATCCATAGACTCCCAGAATGCTACAAGAAACTTTAACACTATTTCATGGTAAACAAACCAATGCATTTTAACTACTGTAAAGATCTACTTCAAATAAGCCATACAAAACAATCTCCTTACAGTGAAATTCTTTCTATTTGTCTAACCAGAATTTTCTCTCCAAAGGAAAGGTACCATTCCTAGAAATACTACCATAGCATGTTGATACATGGGGTGGACAAAGCAAGCTCCTATTCCATCACCCCATTTCAAAAATCAATTTGATGTACAATGCTCAAATAAAACACATATCAGACATTAAATTGAAAACATTAGGCATTACACTTGATTTTAGCTGAGAACAGCAGAGAAGTAAGGTGGAGGCCCTCGGATGCTACATAGTCCCCCTGCCCCCAATACTTTTATGTCACCGGGAACTGGGTGTCTGGGTGCTGGAGACAGGTAACCTGCTGACCAGTTTTCACTTAAAGCCTGCAGCTTTGGGGGCGTGGTCCAGACCCAGGGTCTGTGTTGCAGTAGGTTAGCGTGTCTGGCTCAACAAGGCAGGGTTCTGGAGTCCCAAGCTGGCAGGGAAAACGGGCTCGGAGGTAATTTCAGCACATCAGGTGACAGTCCCAAGGGGGTTTCTGTGACCGAACCAGTCACACCCCTGTTTCTACAGCCTATTGCTCTGGCCCAATTAAACCGTGAGTTTGCTCCTCGGAACCAGGGTCTCTGGGAGCAAACCCAGCCCCTGGACCAGGGAGTCGGGATGTGGGTCATGATGCACAATGCATTATGGGCATGCAAACAAGCATCCCGGACCTGCAGGGGATCCCATCCCACCCCCTGCGGTCAGTACAGCCGACCTGGGGCCAGCAGAGAGCGGGCGGCTTGTCCCCAGCCCCTGCCGCCCCCGGGCTCTGCCGCCAGGGTTGGGCTTTGCTGGCCTGCAGCCACCACACAGCTCGTTAACCCGCCCGTGGAGACCCGCGTCCCCAGCCCCGCTCCTGCCTCCTTGGTAGGAGAGGAAAAGCCGGAGACACGCACAGCCTTTGCACGAGCAACACCCCTCCCGGGCCGGGCATGGAGGCTGGAGCTGGAGAGCGGCGCGCTGACAACACGCAGCTGGGTTACAAACCACCCACCCCCATCAGATCCGGTATTGCACCCAGCTGCTTGGTCTGTGCAGTAACGGGCACTCCGCCTCCAGGCCTTGAGACTCGCCTGTTTTCCTTTCCTGTTGCCAGGTCAGTTAAATTCCTTAGAGCCCAGTGAGCAGCCGAAAGGCAAATACACCCAGCCCGGTGCTCACACTCTCCGCTTCGGCTGCTGCCTTGGAGTGACTCGACAGGCTCACTGAGAACCTCCCCACGAATGATTCAAAAGTCTGCGTTCCTCCTCAGTAGACAGCACAAGGGACGTGCAATACAGTGATGGTTCCTACCTTCATACTGAACTTCCAAGTGCATTGAGCTGAGCACGCCCAGCACAGCGTCCACAATGCCGGGATGGGCTGCTCCCACGATTGCCTGACAACGAAAGGAACAAGAGGGGTGTTACTCCTCCCGGCTCTCACATCTGCAGCGCACTGAAATGTTCACACGTGTTTGATCCTCAAGATACAGAGAACTGCACAGCACTTCGCTCTGAGAGATTCGGGGAAATGGGCTCTTGGGGCTGATTCTGCACCCACTACTCAGGTCCGTGAGCACTAGGACTCCTCGTGGAAGTGCTCACCAATGTAAGGGCTGCCCAGTCTAGCCTATGGTTCTCAGACTAAGGACTGCAGTTATTGGGGCAGCAAACTATTCATTACTATTATTTAATATTTTTAATATGGCAGCACCCAGAGGCTCCAATCAGGATCAGGGCCCCACTGCTCTGGGGCTAGACAAAGAGGTAGAAAAGTCCCCTGCCCCAAAGAGCTTACAGAGAAAGAAGACAAATGTTCTACAAAGTGTGGGGAAAAGGGGAGACAAAATCTCGCCTCCTCTCAGGACTCCTCAAACGTGAGCATGAGTTCACTGATCTCCTGCTAACTGCGGCACTAGAACAGCGTTACGATTTTAATAGTGCTCTATCCAGGAGCCTCTCTCTCTCATGTGGTATGTAACAGAAGAGACAAAGACATAAAATGTACGTTCAAAGGTCAAGGATCCATGATCCTGCAGATTTGGGGGTGGTGGCCACCCCCACCCTTCCTTGCTGACAAGGGACTGACATTTCAAATGGGAGGTTGTCGGAATTAAATACAAGAGCATCAGACTGCATCAGAGCTGCTACCCACCTACCTCACTGCTTAGCTCTATCTTAGTCTGGGTACTTAACATATAGCTAGAATTTGTTATGCAAGTGCATATTTCCAGCCCAGGGAGAATTTAACAGGGGTCAGAAGACCACAACCCCATTCTCTCAATTAAAAGAACAGCACAACCAAAGTGCAGGATTTAAAACAGTAGCACTAAAGGCCGTATAGTTAATCCTGCATGCCATTCCCTTTGAAGTTCCCCACGGAGTAAGGGCAGGACATGTCTTTAGAGGCATATCCTCTCCTACAGCCGAGGTCATACGTTTTCATACCAGGCTTTCACAATAAGTAACAGACCGGAGGAGAAGGGGAATGATAAAATATCTTTCATATTCAATTTATTTAAAAGCAGCATATTAGATCCTGATGGAGCATGGCCTATGTAGACAGAAGTAGCAGCCTTTCTACACTCAGCACTGGCTCACACACAGCCTTGGAGTTTAGCATCTGTGTTACTGAGAGGGAAAAGTCTAAGGGGGGAATTGTTCATGATTCCGTTATCCAAATCAGACAGAAAACAGTTCTGTGCACCCCATTGATTTTCAGTGTGTTCTCAGAACTCAGGCACAGGAACTTGAAGAGCGTACTCTGTGCTGATGACATGCATCTGAGCGCAAAAGGATCCTGGCTTCAGACTTCTCTTATCCAGTATTACCTCAACAAGGCACTTTCAAATCGGGTTGGTTTATCCACACAGGGTAGGCAGCCTTAGGACACATCAGCTGAGTACATACTGGGTGTGCTTGTGGATGCAATAAGCTCTTCTCTGGGCTCCTTAATAAGGCAAGAACTGTAGCAGGATTTCCACGCACCTTTAGCCTCCGGCTTACGATAGATTCACTATGAAACAGAGTGTTCTGATGAAACTAAAGACAGGGCTAAAGTTTGATTCCATCCCGTTCTGCTCACCTGCACAGTTCTGAGTGTCTGCAGAGACAGCTGTTGGGCTTTGGGGGATGTGCATGGCAGCAAAGCAATCAGGCCTTTGTATACTTGGTTCTGATACTTGGGATTGCCATGGCCTAAAGAATCCAACAGAATTTGCACTTGTTCTTGAGTCTCTTCGGACTTGGAATTGGCCAAGAACTCAGCTATTGATCTCACACCTGTGTATAAGAAAGCCCAAGTGGTTACATATCTGAGGTTAGACGACAACTTGGTAATTTTATTGAAATCCAGAAAGAATCAAAACCACTGTCCCATTTTAATCACTGCTGCTGGAGAGGTAGAGATGGGGAATAATCTTTGTCAGTAGTTATTACACTGATTTTAAAATATAATGGGCCAAATTCTCAGCTGGTCTAGAAGGGCAAAATGCTGCTGAAGTCAATTGAACTACATGCATTTACACCAATAAATAATCTGGCCCCAGGAGGTAAATGGTGCATACTGAGTCTCACTTTACTGATTCCATCACACTCATCTCACTGCTGAGGAAATTGTTCAAACCTTGAGCATCTGTCACTGATTGTACTGATGGGTTCCCCTTTACAATGGAAAAAGCATTTATTTTTTTCCAGTCTTCAAAAACATCTGAAGAGATCTAGCTTTCCCTTTTCAGAAAAATTCCTGATTTTTCAATAGATACCAATCAGAGAAAATTTTAGCCCCAAGAGGGAAGGTTTGGAGAGGTAGCAGTGGGTGATCACAGCAGGTTATAATGGAAACTTTTACAACCTTAGCCATAGCAGTTGCAACCAGCATGATTGCTGGAATACATCAAAGGAAAAACACTGTACAGAAAGTAGGCTCATTAAAAATGAGAAGGGGGATGAAATGTAACCACTCAGCAATGGCTGAGACTCTGAACTCCTTTCAACAAGAAAAGTACTAAAATAATCTTCCATCACTAGGACTCTCGCAGAGTGAAAGGAACAGGTTCGGTTCTGTAAGGAGCCCTTGACGTTTGGAGGTCAGAGAGTACAGACTTGCCTAAATGGATGGAAGCCCATTCCATTGATAAAGACCATGGATGGCACGGCACTTACCATAACTTTCACAGATGAGCTCCTTATACTTCCTGCCAGCGTTTGCTACGAGTTGGAGCAGCTTTATCGACTCCCTTTTGTCCTCTTCCTTCAGTTGCTTCAGCCCTAGTATTTCCAGGAGAGTCAGGACACCTCCAACCTCCAGAAATTCAATAAGATACCTGTGGCTACAGAGATGAGCAGAAAATGTAACACTTTGAACAAAATCTTCCTTCCTCGGATCTCCACATTCCTGGGAACCTTCTTCCTACCTCCTTGCCTCAGTTTGTGTCTAAGCTCCTGGACAGAGAGGACAGGTACTAGAAGCTTGACTTGGAACCCAAATGTGAATGCCTCACCTGGCAGTATGATGTGCTCCCAATAGGCTACCAGGTGAGATATTTACCTCTGAGTGTCCACATTTGGATACTGACCTACATGCACACAGAACTTGGGTCTCCATACACAGGGTGCTCATCGGATCCCTAACTAATCAGACCGCTCCTGGGAAATATGAGGGACTCACTGAGCAATTGCATAGCATGGGCAACATCATAAAATATTTACAGTATTCTTGGGAAGCACAAAGGGTCTTGGCTTTGACCAGCCTTGTGTGAAGTAACATATGCAGCACCTGCCCATGACTGATTTATCTATTTCTACAGAGTGCTCATCACCATGGTATCTGACCTCCCCAAACAGGGGACACAATTCAAAACAGGTCCAACTGCACAACCTACTAAGAGTGTGTGTGGGAGTCACCAGGCATGAAGGAGGCTCAGAGACTGTGGGGATCCAGAGAGCTGCAGAGGAGAGAGGAGAGGCTTGCCCAGTTATGGGTACATGCTGACAGCAGGGTGCTCAAAAGCACAGATCATGGACAGTTGCCTCTGTTGCCCTTTCCCAGACCATCCCTGTAGTAAAATATTAATACCGGCCCCCCTCACCCTGGGCTGGCACAACTCTGGGATGTTAAAACCCCCCAAACAATTCTTGTTGAAGTGACACAGTAGTACTCACCTACTTGCAGCTGACAGAAAGATGCCAATGGACTTTAGCTGCTGATCTAGGTATATTCCATACATGTAGCTGTTTGACAATGTTAAGGAGCAAATACTGAGACAATTTTTCTCATTAAAGCTGGTCTGGCTGGTAGCTTGATGGCAATGTATGGCACTGCACCTGGGGAACCTGTCTTTGGGAAAGGGCACAGGCTTTAATTTTCCAGGCCAGCTGGGTTGCAAGCCACTAAAGAGGCAGCATGCTCATCCCCAGAGTGGGCGTGAAGTGGGTACCTGTGGCATTGATGGGCTTGGCAGGGAGCTTACATTTTGTCCTCAGCTAGAAGGATGGGATGTCCTGATGTAGGACCTATGAGAGGGGACGGAGAAAACAAGGGGAATCTTGCAGAGCAACTCAATAATACCCTTGGTGTGGAACTTCCCTCAGATTCCAGCTTTCATGGCTGAGCTCTTCTCCCTGAACAACCTAACTGAACTCAGGTATTTCCACAGAGAGGGGCTACCTTCAATCGTATTGGGGAAAAGAACGTTTGGGAGAGAATCTTCCCCTCGATCACCCCACCCCCTCCGCTGGCATCCCGAGGAAGTAGATACGTCAGCCTCAGCCATGATGTTAGGCGGGCCAGAAACAAGCTGGCTCCCTGTGAGAATTCCAGCTCCAGCTCTGGCCCTGTCTTTCCTTGATTTGCCTTAATGAAATTATCCAGCATGTGGCTTCGAGCAGCTTTGCTAGCATTGTCCCATTCCTGCAAGAACCCCATCAGTCTGCTGATGGCTGCCTGCTCCTTTGTGGAAGTCATGATCAATACTGTCCTATAGGGGAGAGAGAGAGGTTATAGAAACCCTTAAAGATAAATGTAGGCTGTACAAATGAGTAACACCAGCACTAATTATACTTTCCCCTTCATTAGTGCTTTCCAGCTAAGGATCACAAAGCACTTGACAAACATTGATTAATGTAATCTTATCTTCCTTCCTTCTCATTGCTATCTCCATTTTACATCTGGAGAAACTGAGACATATAGAGATTAACTGATTTACCCAAGGCCACATGGTAAATCTGTGGCAGAGCTGGGATTAGAATCCAGATCTCCTGCTTGAACCACAAGATCATCTTCACAAGAGCAGTCTCCCTCCCAGATATGAATAAAGCACTTTAACGATGCAAATGTTCTTAATCTCAGATGTTGCTAGCTTCCCAGGATGGATACTTGATCCCATGCCAGGCCCTGCCAGAGGGTAAGTAGGATGAAATAAGAGCAGAGATGCACAGGACCTTGACGATGTGGATTTGGGAAGCTTTTGCATTTTGAACCTTTTTGTCCTAGTTCATGTCTTATTATTTAATTTCTCTTCGAGTGCAGAGAGCTTTCAATGGCACATTTTTAAATAAACTCAGGGGGGAAATGAAATAATAATCCAAGGAATAGGGCAGCTACAGAAAACCCCAACTGACCCAGTGACAGTGATCCCCATTTTGCCGAATTTCTTTGACATATTTGGGCACTCTCTGTCTCCCCCTCCCCCCTTTGTGGTGTAATTAGTTCTGGTAAAAAGTGCAGATTGACAGCTTGGAAGCTAAAGATGGTTTAATCACATAGGTCCCAATCTTGCAAATACACATGTTTAACTTTAAGATTGTGAGTAGTCCCAATGTGGGGCTTAAAGTTAAGCACGTGCATGGGTGTTTGTAGAATTGGAGTAGGGTGACCAGACAGCAAATGTGAAAAATCAGGACAGGGGGTGGGGGGCAATAGGAGCCTATATAAGAAAAAGACCCAAAAATCGGGACTGTCGCTATAAAATCGGGACATCTGGTCACCCTAAATCGGAGCCAAAGGAGGTACAACACAGGCAGCAATACTGCAAGCTTCTCTCCACGCAGCCCTGTCAACATGCTTCATCTGTGTCCTTCTGTGTTCAGTCTTTGCCTCTTGCAGTTCTTGGCCCCTTTGCTGAGACTGAAGCCTTGTCTAAGTGAGAAAGTTGCATTGGTTTAATTTAAGGTGTAATTTAAAAGCAAATTAGTTAAACCAATGCAACCCCCTGTCTGGACACTTATTTCAGGGCTTCTTTCAGTTTAGTTTAAATCGATTAGGTCCGTTTGGGTCCATGCCTATTTCCTATCTGTAAAGTGCCTAGCACTTTTCTACTAGGAACTTGACTGAGATTCCAAATCCATTTCACAAAAGGCACCAGATGGCTGCCCAATGGTCACTTTCTGTCACTACCGCCTGGGCAGGATGGAAACCAATGACCTAAAGGTGAAATGCTCTGTAGTTAAGTGTATTAAAAAAATGTAAAAACCAAAAAACCCACCACCCTAGAAAGTTGGCTAAAGAAACAATTCTGTGGCGTTAAGAGGAGTTGGCATTTCATTAGGGAATTAACAGTCTGTGGTTTGTAGGAGTCTGTGTCCTTGGCAGAGTGTATTCAGGATCTCCTCTGAGGGAGGACAAGGTTTAAAATAAATCAGTTTTCCCAAAATAGTTGTGATTGAAAGTGTTATTAGCCATAACAAATGTTAGTGCTGATGGGAGACTGGCCTGTTAGGACCCCTTTGTCGAAAGTCGTATTTCACAGCATCATGAGCTTTTCCCAGTGATTTACAGAATATTTGTGAAACATTATGTGCAAGGCTCACGATGAGAGAACAGCTAGTGTGTTGAGGGAACGAGTATTTCACAGAGACCGTTTGCATAAAATTTACAGTCCCATAAAGAGCTCCTATGTCCTCTACAGAAATCTAGTTAAAAGAACTTAACAGTCTGAAGCATCCCAAAATTGATTCTAAATTAACATTTCCATATTTATGTTTGAGACGCTGATGCTGTGCTCTTATCCTGCTTTTATTAAGAAGCAGCAATAATCCTCACTGTTCAGAAACACCATCACCAGCCTCTGGACAGCAGGATTTGAGGAATAAAGGGTGCTTTCCTATTATCCATTCCAGCCAGGGAGCACAGTTGGTCTGAAAACGATCACACAATACAACTAACTGAGGACACAATGGTACCAGACTTTGACTGTTATAATACTATGCACCTATACGGTGCTCTTCACCCAAAGAGCTCCAAGTGCCCTATAAATAGGGGTAAGGATTCTTATTATCCTTATTTTACAGATACAGAAACAAATTCACAGAGAGGGGAAAAGACTTGCCCCAAGCTCACACAGTAACTCAGAACAGAACCAAGTCTCCTCACTCCAAATTGTCCGTTCTAGCCACTCAATGAACTGCCTCACTCATCTCGCTGGCTCGGGTAAGCTTAGAGGGTTGGACACCAAGTCAGTACTTTGTTGGGAGGACTCTAAGGAAAACCCAGGTGATTTAGGAACTGGTGTTGGCCATTCATTAGGTAGCACTTTTCCTTTTGAATCACTTCTGAATCGAGGAGTCCAAGTTAAGGGCCCGGGAGCACTGTGCTGCCAGAGGTGCCCGCCTCAGTTGTGAGTGGTGCAGCCCTGGAGGAGTTGGGAGACGGGAGGGAAAAGGTGGTTTTAAGATATCTTGGCACCCACCAGATTCCAAGCCTTGCCCAGTCCCTGGCACAAGTTGGAGCCTGCTTGGCCCATCCACCTATCACCATGGCCCCCGCTCCTGCTCGTCCTCTTCCCACCGAGGCCCTGCCCCCTGGCCAGGCCAGCAGCTGGAGACGGGCCCCGGGAGCCCAGGCAGCTGTGGAGAGCCATGGATCCCATGGGTGGAGACCTGGCCCGGGGGGGGGGGGAGGGAGGGGAGGGCCTGCCCAAGAGTTGCCCCTGGCCCGTGTCCCTGCTCCCCGGGCCCTCCGCCCAGGGCAGGTGGAGGGTGCGCGGCTCCCCCACAGCTGCACTGGGCGGATCTTACCATGGCGCAGCTCCGAGGCCCTGCCCCCCGGCTGGAGCTGGGTCAGGGTAAGAGCCACGCAGGCAGCTGTGGGGGCCACTGACCCTCCACCTGCCCTGCGCAGGGGACCCAGGAGGTGGGGACACAGGCCGGGGTCTGCTCTTGGGAGCCCCCCACCCAGGGTAGGTAGAGGGTCCCAGGCTCCCTAGCCCTGCTCTGGCTTGGCTGTGGGTGGGGCCTTTGGGGGAAGAGGTGGGGCAGGGGCGGGACCAAGGAGGGGGGCTTGTCCCCTCCACTTTTGGGAAGGCTCTGCGCCCCTCCCACTAAACCCACAATCCTCACTGATCCAGCAGGCCCCTTCCTTCCTCCCTCCCCTAAAGCTCTATGACCCTTGCTCCTTCTCCAGACCCCCTGCTCCAGCAGCCCCCTCCAGGCACCTACTATTCCCTCTCCTTGGTCCCACTGACTCCCCCAGCACCCATTTGCCCCCAAACCTGGTACCTACTCTCCCTCTAATCCAGTTAGACCCCAAATCCATCTAATGCTAGTTCCCTTGCCAGCTCTGTGAAACTCCATTTCCGCCAATGCTCACCCCACCCCAGCTGCGATGCCCCTACACCCTCTTCAGTTCCCCCATGGCTCCCAATAGCTCTTTGAGGAAGGGGCTGTGTGAGATACTGGTCAATCCCCCTACCCATGGTTGTCTTCTGGGGGTGATTGGCTGGCTCTCACACCATGCTCATTATGCCATGAGGCACTGTGTCTCCTCCAGTCCTAAAAGAATCTCTTTGCCTTACTCCTCCTACACAGCCAGGCCAACAGCAAACTAAGGAAAGGGATAGATCATAAGACAGGAAATATCATAATGGCACTATGTACATCCACAGTACCCCCACACCTTGAAAACTGTGTGCAGTGCTAGTTGCCCCATCTCAAAAAAGATATATTAGAAAGGGAAAAGGTACAGAGAAGAGCAACAAAATGATTAAGGATATGGAACATTCTCCATATGAGGACACATTAAAAAGACTGGTACTGTTCAAGCTTGGAAAAGAGACAACCGAGGGAAGCTATGATAATGGTCTATTAAATCACGATTGGTGTTGGGAAGTGAATAAGAAAGTGTTATTTATCCTTTAACATAACACAAGAATCAGGGGTCACCCAATGAAATTAATAGGCAGCAGGTCTAAATCACACAAAAGGAAGTACTTCTTCACACAACACACTGTCAACTTGTGGAACTCCTTGCAGGGGATGTTGTGATAGCCAAAACTGTAACTGGATTGAAACAAGAATTAGATACATTCACGGAGGCTAGGTCCATCAATGGCACTTAGCCAAGATAGTCAGGGATGCAACCCCACACTCTGGTTATCCCTAGCCTCTGACTGCCAGAAGCTGGCAGTGGATGACGGGATGGATCACTTGATAATTGCCCTGTTCTGTTCTTTCCTCTGAAGCACCTGGCATTGGTCACTGTCAGAAGACAGGAGACTGGGCTAGATGGACCATTGGTCTGACCCAGTCTGGCCATTCTTATATTACACCTCTACCCTGATACAACGTGACCCGATATAACACGAATTCGGATATAACGCAGTAAAGCAGCACTCCCGGGGCGGGGCTGCGCACTCCGGCGGATCAAAGCAAGTTCGATATAACACGGTAAGATTTTTTGGCTCCCGAGGACAGCGTTATATCGGAGTAGAGGTGTATTATATTCTTATACACTGACCAACCTCCGCTGCCCTCCCCCACTGCCTGCATCTACCCCATCCCCCCACCTACCAACCCTGCCCCCTGCACCCCCCCACCCCATCTACCCACCCCCCGTCCTGCCCCCCGCCTGCACCCCATCTACCCACCCCCCGTCCGCACCCCCCAAC